GCTTAAAAATACCCTTTATATCTTTATTTATATTAATATAATAATATAATCTTCCTCTAGGTCTAAAAAAAGCTAATTTAAACCTTAGATTAAGAATAATACTAATAATATAAGCCCTATTAGTTAATATTAGTAATAAGCTATATTAAATAAGGGAAAAAACTTACTTATAAGTAGGACTAATAGAAAAGCTTAGTTTTCTAAGAAAATATTTCCCTAGCTTTTTTAAGACTTTAGAAATTATATTAATATAACTAATATAATATTCTTATTAAATAATTATAATTAATTAGTAAAAATATCTAAAAGGGTATAAAATTAATATATTAACCTTATTAGGTAATATAGCCTTATTTTTAAAGTCCTTTTTAAGGCTTTTAAGGCTATTATATATCTTATTAATATATAATGATACCTTAGGAATTAAGAAGTAAAATTAGGCTTAAAGCTTTATAGAGGCCTTTAAAAAGACCTTAAAAATAGCTTCTAAGTTATACAAAGTAGCCTAATTAAGGTTATTAAAAGCAATAACTTTTAATTCCTTATTAGAATCTACTTTATTAATATAATTAATAGGCTCCTTTAAAATAAGACTAATATTAATTATATTATAGGTAGATTTCTAATAGGTTATATTATCTATATAATATAATTAGTAAAATAATTAAAAAAAAGCTAATTAGGAATTAATTTACCTAAGGGAATTATTTAGATATTAAAATCTAAGGCTAGGTTCTTTTTAGCCTTTTTATACTTAATACCTTCTAAAAAGGTCTTTTATATATTATTATTATATTTAATAATAGTAATAATATAGTATAATTAGCTTATAAGAGCTAAAAAAAATAATTAGTAATTATAATTAAAGGAAATAACTTAAATAAGAAATAACTAATAACTTATTACTATAACTACGGGGTAAAAAATCTAATTTATTTAATTTACCTCCCTTAATAGATAAATTATCTATATTAGAAGATAAATTAGAAAAATTAGTATTTAAATACTCCTTAAGAATATCTTATATAATAATATTTAAAATATAATTAATAAAGTATATATTATTATTAAATACCTTTTTATAGCTTTTCTCTAAAATAGCTTTAAAGATAATTAAAAAATAATTATTATTTATTATATTATCCTAGGTTATACTAAATAAGGGTTATAAGTATTAGTTTATTTATTAACCCTTAGAAGATAATAAAAAAAATATATTTACCTAAAGATATTATATATTTAAATAGCTAGAAAATCCTTTAAAGCAAGAAGAAATTAGTTATAAATATATAACCCTATATAAACTTTATTAAGCTTATTAAACCCTATTTAATATTTAATAATTAATAAATTAATTATAAAAAAAGCTTATTTAAGGTAAGACTTATCAATAACTTTATATTCTAATTTAAAATTAAAAGAAATATAAGATAAGATAATTCCTAAATAGGAATTTTATCTATTAGAAGACTAAATATTAAAGGTTAAGGAAAAAGTCCCTAGGCTTTAAATATTTACTTCTAATTCCGAATTAAGGCATTATAGGGAGATATTAAAAGCCTTATCTAAGAAGCCTTTAAAATTCTATAACTACTTGTTTACTTTATTGGCTCGTGTCTGCCTATTGTGCTGTTCGGCAGAAGCATTTCATACAAATGGAGCTCACGATGAAAACAAAGACAAGGCCACCACCAGAGCCTAATATCCATTTAATCCACGAGTTGGACTCAAAAATGTTCCTTTCCAAGCCATTCTATGCTCCATCTTGTACATCTTTTCCAGCCATCCCCAACGCAAAAGACTAAACGGCCGTTTTCTTAACTTGGAACTTGCCCCTCGTAAACCCATCGACTAGACGCCTTCGTCTACTGATTCTTGTTAAACGCTCACCAGTTAGCCCCCCCAGGCATACTGACTTCGCCCCCCACCTGTGCTGTGTCCCTAAGCCAAGCGAGGCCAGCCATCACCATCTCACCCACTATTATGGCTCCCCAGGATGCGACAGCTGCGATTCTCGCCTGGATCCCCGAAGCGGAAACGCCAAAAACCCTAGCCGTGGCCTTCGCCACATCACAGCGGGAGGAGGCTAAGCGGACCGTTGTCGCCATCAAAGCACGCATCAAGAGCACCGAAAGACATTACAACACCGAGATCAGGCAGTTGCAGAAAGAAAAGGAGGATAGGGTCAAAGAACTCAAGAAACAATTGAGTGATCAAGCGAAATTGATCAAAGTTCATGGGGACACGATCAAGAGCCTCCGCTGAGAGGTCTGAGGGCCACCGGGGAAACATGAATGGGTAGATGGGGTTTTGCTGGGACAGGACGGGACTGGACGGGGTAGTATTCGATGAGAATGTCGGCATGTAAGCTCATAGCGCCTATGAGAGTTCTATCATGGGCCTTCATATTATGAACCAGAGTATGGATTAGAGCCAAAGTACTAGCCATGTTCGAAGTGACCGACAAATACCACCCTTGTGGCCCATTCCTACTCTCCCTGATCCGCTGAGGCGGCCATGACCATTTTTCCCCATGATCCATACAAGTCAAATTTCGTCTGTTGAAACATATGGAGTCAACCGCAGAAAGCCAGAGGCAATTCTCAGTGCCCTCCCTACCACTGGGGTAGGATCCGCGGGCATCATGGTGGAACATGAAGACCAGCCCACACACATGCTCAACAACTTGATCGAACGAGATCAGATGAGATAGTTAAATGCCCAGTATTAGGCCTTAATGCCGCCATGTATTAATGACTGTGTTCTTTGCTGTCTTGGGTGATGGTTTCTTGTGATCATTGCGGACGATACCTGAACAAAGATAAATCACAACTATGAGAATCAATTGATTGATTCCCGTCTTGTTCCAACGTTTCCGCTCCCGAGCTAGAGAACTCGTTGTGAGAATTTCATATACAGCAGCTGGTCTAGAACGTAATGTTATGACTCTTGCCCGCCGACACATCATCTGAATACTGTCGGGGCCTCTCTTTATAAGCACTCGCGCCTCTCATACGTGCGCTATCCTCATCTCCCAATCAGTGCCACCGACCCTCGCAGCCATAATTGTCACCTGCAGATATGCCCTCTTCACCACATCTCATCATGTAGTGCTAGATATCTACGTACCTACCTTGGGGTTGACGAACTCACCTGAACGCCCGGGAAATGGAGTGAGAGATGCAAAGTGTTGAATACAAAACATACTTTGCTAACACCAAAAGTAAAAGATACCTTTCAGCAGATACTGAGGCAAATTGGGACTTATTTCTGCACTATACGAAGAAAAGCAGACGGTTGGAAAACCGCTTCGGACATGAGATATGTCGACTTGCGGCTCGCCGGTCGGCTGAAGGAACTTTAGGTTCATCTGGTTGTCTAGGAAAACGGTTTATCTTTTATATATAGATGATGTCCTCAAGGAAGTTAGTGACGTGCCCCTTGAGCTGGTATGTTGGTTGCGTACGGTAGGTCATGCCCTGTATATACTCCTCGACTCGACCGATCAAAGAAAGGATTGTCTCCCTTGTGTCGATTACGTGTGGCCCAATGCCATGTATGAGTCGGTCATAGACGGGGAGTGTACTGAGGATCTGTTGTTCGAGCTATACTGACGATAGCACGCTCAATGGCAAATCCGATCGTCGCCATCGGTAGCGAGGAGCTCACGACGATAGCATACCAGTAGAAACGACAAAGAGACATTTTCTTCACGAACTCCAGGGCATTTGGGCTTCATACAGTAAATGCATATCAATGCCTTTGTGCAGAGTCATCGCCTTTATCTCGGGGCCTACTTCGCACATCCGAGGGGGTCCCTGGGCGTAGCTGGGGTCTCCAACTTCCAAGAGATAGCTTTCGCCATGGGCCGCAGACCAAAGCAAAAACTACGCGTCAGCTGCATTCAGGTAGCTAGAAATCGCCGGATCGCGGCCTCTGTGAGCTGCCTTTGAAGTCCGTTGCAATCTATCGCTGTAGGCTGCCTTTGAAGACTGCCATGACAGACTGCCTTTGCAGGCCTTTGAAGGTTGCAGGCTTCCTTTGAAGACTGCTGTTGCGGGCTGCCTTTGAAGACTTCCTTTTCAAACTACCTTCACAGGCTTTCAAAGGTTACAAGCTGCCTTTGAAGACTGCCATTGACCCAGGGTCAATAAGCAGTGGATAGCCAACTGCGACAAAGCTGTCCCTGAAGCATTTTTACGAGAGAAAAACCTGGTGGCAAAAGACATGAGTACTAGGTAGGCATGAACAGCGGGCAAATATTTTCCAGGAGCAACAATTAAGTTTTAAGAGCAAGAGGTGTAATCAGTACATACCTACTGTATATGGAGGGTCAGTATTGAATTGATGAGTCGATTCAGGTGTTTGAATTGAACTGATTGAATTGAATCAGGGGGGTCACGTGCTAAAGGGCTACACCTGATTTGGCCTAGTCCGTGACTAGTCACGTGATTTGCAAAAACTGAAAACACCAAAAATGCCCACATCACATCATATCAGAGGTATCACCAAAAATACGGTTCAGATTAAATTAATTCAATTCAATCCGGCCTCTGAAATTGAATTGAAGACTTGAAAGATATACGGATTTGAATTGGTTGTGATTGAATTGAGCGCAGCCCCGAGTCGGTGGAGCGACAGAATAGTTCTCAGTGTGCTGCTATACAGTGTTCTAATGCTCCACAGCTCCACGAGGTACTTTGAACCATGAGTCGCCCAGTCAACCCCCTAACACTGGGCGGCCAGCCCACGGCGTAAGCAAGGCGCTGCCCGAAAAAAGCAATGCAGACTCAATGGGCTCCAGTTCATCGCCCTTGGCTGCATAAATTTTGGAGCCTTATGCGAGATCTTGTGCAGCCGACTTTGCTTTGTTGTACTGTGCAGATAGTCCATGTCGCCACCGTGCAGTCAGCTAAGAGCCCTCTCCCCATGGGAAACTCTTTGGAAAGGTCAGTGGAAAGAAGTTCTCGTATAGATTATCAGCCAAACTAGCACCCCACTCAACTCGGATATACCGTTGGTCTCTTGTTGCGTGGACAGTCATGGCAAAAGGTTCGAATTCTTGTCGTATCTGGTCTGCCCGGCTGGATGCCCTCGGCCATGAAGGATAGCGCATGTGACTTAGCAAAAGCGACCGGCGCCTCCAAAGATAATATACCGAACGTTTGTTTCTCGTAGAGGATACCAGCGCCATAATCGACACTCTATGAACTACCTAGTCTCAGATACTCAGTCATCGCTATATAAATCCTCCTCTCCATTACCCTCTATCTGGAAGGCCTTATTCCATTCCTCTACGGAGTTTATCTACCTCCTGAAGAAAACGTTCCATGTCGGCCTCCGCCTCCTGAGTGGCTGTGTTGGCCCTCTTCTTGGCGTCCTTACACTCCTCGTACCCCTTGCTGATTTCGAGCAGACGCTGGAGCTTGTTGCGGCAAGCCTCTTCTTTCTTCACCTCCTCCGTCCACACAGACACCTGCTTCATAGCCGTCTCGTATCTCTCGGCGGCCCCGGCCATCTTCTGGCCAATAGCTTCCCGGTCAAACCAGTCAAGAATCTCTTCGGCAGTGGACGCCGCCTTCTTCGGGTGATTCTCTCCCTCTTCCTCATCTCTCTTCCGCTTCGCGTTTCGAGTATTTGCAGTTGGTGTCGCATCAGACACAGAAGACCGAGCTCTGGAGGCCCGTCGACTTGGATTAGGTGAGTTCGGCATCGTGTAGTATTTATGTGGCTACTATGGTTAGAATCACAATAAAACACATGGTGTATGACGCGAGGAGTAGATATGGGGGAATCGCAATAAGGTCGATATTTGAGGGCCAGATCAAAGCACTAAGAGTCAGGAGTTGACTTACCAAGACTGGGGAGGATCTGGGATCGAGGTGGCTGCGGCTTTTAGGGCGGTGGGAAATCCTTCGGTGACTGAGAGTGGGAAATCTTTCGAAGGTGACTGAGATGATGGTGAAGGAAGGAAAAGGGAGAAATGTCAACATCTGGGAGAAGGGGCCCTCTTATGCCTCGAAGAAGCTCCTCCCCGGTCGACTTTTGCAGTCCTAGACCGCCTCATCTCTCGGGCAAGGCGGAGTAATGACGACTACGGGTTACCTGCAGAGGGAGCAGAAGCCAGCTATGCGCGACGGATAGAGAGTAGCATTGCAATAATAGACAAACAAGACAAGAGCCAACGACATTCGAGTATCTGTGGGCCTACGGGAGATACGTTTCAGAGATGATTGGGGCCAAAAGCCATGGGCGTTTATCCTTAAGCTCTAGACGTCTCCAATGGCATATGGTAGCTCAAGACCTGTCAAATGGATATAATAAAATGGAATGACAGCTCCAGACTCGTTTTTCCCTGGGCCGAAACGGCTGTACTATACTATGTATGACTGCCACCTGAGCCATGCTAGTCCCAGGGTCCCCCAGTCCAATGCCAATGTCTCATCGGGCCAATCTGCAGGGACACGGGTAGGGGTCCATGCTCTAGCCATATCGGGTTGACTGAATCAGGATCTACCACCCCTACCCCTACCGCTACAATACCCCTAACCCCCAGCTCTCCCCGCATCTCATCTCTCCACCCCTCCTTCTCCCAGGTGCTTCTTTATCTCCCACCCCAGATTTAACTACCTAGGTACCGTATCGACTCAACACATCCGGACTGGACGGTGGGTCTTGGTACCCTTGCAAGCGTCTGTTCTGCAATTCCCGATTGGCCATCCCATAGCTCTGTCAGAGTTAGGGCAGTTAACGTCTCTAACAATAAGTCAATGGCTTGCATAGAGCCAACGAGCTGCCTTTGACAGGGATGCCTAGACCCACCGTCCAGTCCGGATGTGTTGAGTCGATACGGTATCTGCGCGCCGATTGTTAGTCAAATGCGTGTGCGAATAAGTGCTCTCAAACAACCGCCTCTGGCAACTGGGGAAAAGGGGCAGAGGAAAACGCAAAGGCATTTCATTTCAATACCCGGCCAGCTCACTCCCGCCTTACGGGGACAAGACGGGAAGCGGCCGTTTGGCGTGGGGCGATGACAACGAGGCATCTCCATGGTGGCGAAAAAGGGGGAGGGACTCGATCACGGGGAGAAGAAAGGCAACATCGATAGAGAAAACTCGATAAGAGATGGAGAAAAGACAAGCCAGCACAAGGCGACGATGATGATATGAATGACGTTGAGAGAAGGTTGGCAAGAAGGCATCTACCACGATGCGCACGCCCACGAAAAGACTCGATCCACAATATCATCTCCCTTGGAACCGACTCGGTGGCCGATGATCCCCTCTGCCTCTCTTTTCACACATCGGCTTCCCGCACATGAATGACTTGTTCTGTGTAGAGAGAGATTCCACTGTCTATGCAAACGCGTCAAGATTCATCGCTTTGGGATACGCGACTCTCCGATACCGGAGCACTATAGAAGCGTGTGCATCATCCCAGCCTACCGACGCGTTGACGTGTATGAACACGTCTCTGGTATAATTACAAATATCCATCCCATTAGGATTAATTATGTGTTCCATGTCTCAATCCATCCTGTCCTGGCCCACTGCGATCCAGCTTATCAAGCAACCCAATACATCCACGTCGTTATTGCATCATCTTCGCTATGCCTGATCCTCGTAATCAGCTGTACCTCTTCTCAGTCTTGGTTCTCCAATTTGATCTTTGTGCCGAGCTGTTCAGCAAGAGCGTCGAGATCATGACGGTCAAGCATCTTCATCGGTTGGACGCTCTGATTGGGTGTGGGCATGACTGTCTTCTCGGTTGGGGCGAACATCGGGGCGGGCGCTGGGGTTCCTGGGATCTGAAAAGAGGCTTGAGTCATGCTAGCCACGGGGTTCTGGGGTGAAGTCTGGTTGGCGACACCCGGGAGGACGGGAGGCGAGGTGGCGGCGCACTGGAAACGAAGCTGATGTCCAGCTGCCTGGGCGCGGACCATCTTCTTCTCCAGATACATGACTTGTTGCATGAACTTGTTGAGAAGAACCCGGCCAGTTCTGCTGCTGTCAAAGTTCAGGCCGCACGCCCTGGCCATGGCTTTGGCTCCGATACGGTCTGGGTGATGGTGGAGGAGATAAGCCACATCGGCCTGCGTCGACTCGCAGATGAAGAGCCGGAACCGGCGGCCGGTATTGAGCTTTTCCTCGTAGAAGTGACGGCTCTTACCGCAGATGGAGTTTGGGTGGTGTCGACACATTGTGAGAGTGATGGTTCCAAAGTGTCAGGTGAAGTTGGGCTGGCTGTGACGATGGTGAAGAAGAGTCAAGAGATCATCATAGTGGTTGTTGGAGAGCATAGTTCTTTTGAGAGGTTATGTTGGCTTGGAAGTCTATCACGAGATTTTTGATCTCTTTAATGCATCTCTTTGATGCGTCTCCTAGGAAACTTTCTTTATTATTTTCTTTGACTAAGTCACGGCGAAATAGGCAGCTAACTCACCCACTCCTCTGTTTCCTTTTCGACAAGTGACTATCCCCGGAATATGGCGTTTCTTATGTCGTAGCCTAGATAGGTAGTGAATCCATTCTGCCTGCTGTGTCTGTTCTTCTCATAACTCCCTTTAATTTGATTGTCTGGAAATAGGCATATAACTCGCCCACTTCTTTGTCTCTATATTAATAATTCACCCACTCCATGGCCTACGCAGGAGCCTGGATGGTCAGTGAAGGAAGTCCTTCTGTCCCTTCTGCTAGTTATGCTTCTCTTTTTCCAAATTCTACGAGATCTGTCTTCGTCATCTTCCTCTACTTCCTCCGTTACCTTCAGGACGATGCCTTAGTCCTCTACGGTCCCCTCTTACGAGACCACTCTTACGAGACCACTCTTACGAGATCACTCTTACGAGACCACTCTTATGAGGCCGCTCTTACGAGAACACTCTCACGAGGGACAGCCATAGGTGAACCCGCCATTGATGATGCGCGATGATCACGGCGTTCCACGCAAGCTCCATGCACCAAGGGTCTGCAGGGTCTGCAAATCTCGCTCTCATGAGCACGTTTTAGCGAAAACACTCTAATGAGTTCCGCTCTCAGGAGTCTGCTTTAAATAAATTCGCTCTTATGAGTCTCGCTCTCACGAGTTTCGCTCTCACGAGTTTCGCTCTTATGAGTCTCGCTCTTATGAGTTTCGCTCTCACGAGTCTGCTTCAAATGAATTCGCTCTGATGACCCTCGCTCTTTTGAGTCTCGCTCTTATGAGTTCACTCTCACGAGTCCGCTCTCGCGAGCCTACTCTTACGAGTCTGCTCTTATGAGCCAATTCTTATGAATCCCACTCTGACGGGTCTTGCTCTCAAGAGCCCACTCTAATGAGTTTCGCTTCACTAGGTGACCCCTTCTCACGAGTCTACTTCAGGCTCGCTTCCCAGCGGCTCATTCCGATACGACCGTCTTGTGTTTGGTGATCCTTCCCAATAAAGAGGAGATCGCATGGGGGAAAAGCTCGTCACTTCTAAAGGCGCCTTTTCTCCTTGGGAGATTTCCCGAGCCATCGCTTTTCGGTCTGTTCAGATAAGACCAGGTTTTAATCAAGTTGGCGATTCAACTGAAAGTAACTTGGAATGTTGCTATTGATGAGGCATTCATACTGCTTCGCATGCTGTATAACGATGCCATGCAATGGGAGCTCAACTGAGCACAGACCCACCATCAACTCAGGTCAAATGCATTTCTTTGTTCTTTTCCCTCTCAATCCTTCTTCTGAATCACTTCAATATCATGATCAATCAATTATCGCAAATCCATCTCGCAAATTAATCCATCGTATCGACGATATTCTGCTTTGGTTGGATCTCGACCTACCTACCTACCCTGAACATGGTATGCCCTCCCAGCGTGCGGCGGTTTAGTCAGCGACACCCCACCTGGACCCGGAACATCAACGCCAGGGCCCGGGCCCGGGCCCGACGACGACGGCGGCGAAGGAACGGCTTCTGGGGCATCTTTGACACATACGGGAGGCCATATCCTAGCGGTAATCATCAGGGCGCTTCTTCTTTAGTTGACGATTCTCCGTCCTCTTCGCCCTTTCCACCTCCCGTCCAACAATCACCGTCACCTACCGAGCCCCCCGACATACCAGTCCAGAAACAACAGATCGCTGGCATCACGCTCTCGGTCCAGTTAAATCCAGACGACGATCCCATTCCCCTCGAGTTCTACATCTCCCAACATGACCCCGACACCGATCATGTGCCCGACGAGCAGGACGAGGCTACCTTGACCACTGCGCGTGCTCGCATCCGACTCTGCTCTCCCGTCACCGTGTTTACGCGTCCTCCCAAACGCCATCGCCAAGGGAGTCAGTCGAATGATGAACCCCCTTCAAAGCGCCGCCATGTCAGCCTCCCTCACGCGTTATCCGGCTCCAGTCCCCGTTACGCGCCGAACTCCAATGCGCTTCGCGATGCCTCGAACCGAAACGAATCCGGCCCGAGCCTCCCTGGCGACTCTGCATACATGGTGGAACTTGGTCTTGTAAGGGCATATCCGTCTGCGGAGGACATCGCAGACAGCCATGAAACCCAGTCTTGGTCCTCGTCTGAGGACTCATTGCTGTATGATCAATCGTTCGGCCACCCAACACTTGACGATTCACTGCCCAGTGCTCAATTGCTCCTCGACATGCCTTATGACGACGCCGTCCACCTTATTCATCCCACTCGAGTACTCATCCGAAGCGCTGTTATCACCACGGCCATTATCGTCATCCTTTTCATCGGCCTCCACGTCATCATATTGATCATTGCACCTCTGATATTGGGCGCCTTTGCCACTCAGAACCCACTTGGACAATTGCCCGACTCCCCTCTGCAACCTGTCGATTGGTTCCAAGAAGCGGCCGAGATAGAGATGGCTGCAATGAGCATCTCCCGTGTTGTCCTCTTTGGCGAAACCTCACAGGAAGATTTTCTCTGGCAGTGTCAGCCTGGCCTCCGCCCAGATGATGGTCCTCTCCATGACAACTCTACAGGCACTGATCCAATCATTCCCGAGTTCGACATAGACTCTCCCTTATACCCTCGGTACAAACCATGGGAAACAGCCTCAAACGGCCAATACATACCAGAAGGATACTTTCTGGCTGACCTCGAACGGGTTCTTGGATCTACTCTGTCCGATATTCAGGATATCGCCAACCATGGACCCTTTGAGTTTCGCTTTACCCAAGGGTCTAGCACCCAGTTCCGCTGGTCTACTTCTGCTAGCAAATTTCTTCCTCCGCACGATTCTCTGCCAATACTACCCTTCGACTACGACGACAATGAGATGCCAGGATCTACCATATACGGTGTACCCCCATTGACCGAGGGCCAGCGGTTGGGTCCTTCTCCAACAGGCCGACCTGCCGATGTCTGGAGCATCTACAATCTCGATCCTCCATTGACCCAACTCTGCCGCAAGCTTGAGACTTCTTTGCAGCGGGTCAAGGATTTACACTACCGTCTTCACAACCAGCTTGTCACCCTATTTCCGGGCCAGTCTTTGGATCGCGTCAACCTGATCATGTTCCGCCTGTCCCTTCTGATCGAACAACAGAGTATCAGAAATGGTACATGGGGTTCTGATCAAGAAAGACTCGATTGCATATTCCCCCAGCGTACCATCCATCTCAGTACTCCGACTACCACGTCCGCGCCTAGACCACCTCCGCCTGGTCTGAAGGACATCCCGGCGAATATCCCCCTGGATTATCTTGAACAGGTATTCGAAGCCCATGCCAAGTCCGTCTCGGCCTCATGTAAGTGCCCCAGTCTTGAACTCGCCCTCTGTTGACCTATTGCTCACCTTTGATAGCATCCCTTACCTCATCCCCGACCCCGATCACGACTCGACAACCATCCTCGATGCCATGTCACTCCAGACGATACCACTCGCCAGCCGAATGGTCCCATGCTCAGGACAACAACGGAACCGCGCACGAACTTGTCGATATTCTCGACATCACAACTGGGCACGACTTTGGGAAAGAGATGAACACGCATGCTCCGCATCTCTTCATGCTGATGCCATACAGAGATGCACTAAAAGAGACATCCCAACATCTCTCCAGTCTCAATGACCGGATAAAACAAGTACTCACGACAGCACATACCCAAGATCTCGACTGGACACGGACCAAGGAGTCGTTTACTCGACTCGAGGACGTGGCGCGCTTCCTCAGCCAGATAGCTACGGTGCGCATCGACGAGATGTATCATCGTGCCGAGCGTGGTACCTCTCTCCTTGAGGCGACTGAGCTGCGGCAGACTAGACTTCGCAATGAGGTGGCATCAGGTTGGATTGGTGCCCCAGTCTCGGTCAGGCGCAGTGGCGAGCAGCTGAGCCTTCTTCACTTCCCCTCCATCCAGACCGTCATGTCAATGTGGCATATCACGACCAAATGGATACGTGCAGAAGTCTCAAGTCTCCAAGACACGCATGCCGCGCGCGAGCTTGCCTTCAATCGGCGACGCGAAAAGGAGCGGAAAGACAAGACGTCAGCGATGCGTCCAGTTATTTGGTCGAGGTGGGAGATGGGGGACACAAGAAGAGAGTCGTTTGGGCGCGAGGCGTTTTGCTGGGACTGGGGGCCAGTGAAGGAGAGGGATAAAAAGGGATGCGGCGATGGGTCTTTGAGGCATGGAAATGACTAAGTGAGACTGGATGTTTGTTCATCTTGGACAGGCAGTTCATAGACGCACCGCATGCAATAAACTGGCAACGTTGAGCGAAACTTGATGAGTAGAGGAGCTCCAATGCTTGAGATGAATCTCGATGCCCATCTCACCACGTAGTGCAATGCGCGGCAATCGAATAACTGATCGCTAGCCGCGGATGATGCGGTCTGGTCGCCATCTACCGCGTGTCTTACGGGTCCGCCATGGGCTTGGAAGATGGTATGTTAGAGCTCACTGTCTATTGGGACTATGCCATGTTCCGATGGCTCTGGTGTGGCTTCTCGGCGTGAACCGAAAATCCCAACCATGGCTCTAGGGGTGGTCGCCTCTGTGTTTGTCCGATATAGGCACGTAATCAAGGACGGCATCTACTCTGCGCTCACCGTCCCGTAGAGAAGCTCCGTGGAGAAGTTGTTCATTGCCAATACTTGGAGTCATTCCAACCTGTACCGTCTGGCTGTTCCACGAGGCGTCTCGCGACAGTGGCCAGGATGAGCAGGTCATGAAGGTTACCCACTGAGAGACAGACGAAAGACGCGCCTGCAAGGAATATATCGCCAGCTCCCGAGCAAACGCAAGCTGTCATATACGGGAGCGTTTAAGGCAGATTGGGACCTGGAAGATATTGAGCCACTTGGATGTGGTAAGGAATCCAGAAATGTACTCAATAACAGCGTATAGAGAGATGAGAAACGCAAGGGACAAGGTCGAGGAATGGGGTGGTGAAAGAATCATCAAGAGTAACGTCAGCTGGCGAGTAAGAGTCTTAAGGAGGACCACGACCTGCCTCAAGATGTATAGGTCTTGCGGTCTGGCAGCGGTCAGGGGAAGTAACCTGAGCTTGTGCAACAGCCTTTAGATCAATTTATGAAGTGTAAACAACAGAGTGCGGCAGTTGTCGGGTCTCGGCAGTTCTTACACAAATCCTGGGATTATGGGCATTTTGTGACTCGTCTGAAGGTCTGTAGATGAGAAATACCTAGTCACATTTATGGCATAGAGGCCAAGAGATAAATTGCTTGACAGCCATGAAGGTCCCTGAGAGTCAGTACCACCCAGGTTATGTTACCAGCCAGAGGTGGAGCCGAAAGATTGATCACGGGGACGAAGATTAAGGCAAAAACTGAGTCTCTTGTCCTGTCCGCAGACTGGTTTGGCTGAGGGACGTGATAAAGATAAAGGAAAGAAAGTTGGGACATTGATCAACATGGACGACGTGAGGAATTGCAAAAGGCGTGAAGACTTGTTTGTGACTTTGCCAAGCTCAGAGTTGAGGCGGAACTTGGCCATACACTAACTCTCGGAACTCGTTTGGTAGTGTGATATTGGTGAGATTTCTGGCAAGGTCTGGAAAGCGAGGGCTATCAGCACCTGAGGATGCATGTAAACAACGATGAGATACATAAGTTGCGAGTTGTTGTGGTTGCAATCGAACGGCGACGGTAAGGTAGGCGAGTCAGAACCCAGGATTGATCCTCTTCGCAGCTAGATCTATAAAGAACACCATATCATGTCAAATCCGCAGTTTCGGTGGTACCTCTTGTGAAGCAGGCAATAGGCGAAGGTGCTGGTACTAGATGCATCCCATTGATGTGTTGATTGACAAGAACCCGCTTTCAAGGACGTAATGGCTTCCCTTCGCTGGATGGTATCTGAAGCTGAACTAGCTTCTTCGAGAATCTCCCTCCTGATACCTCCCTTTGTGGGCAACCTTGCAAAATAGAGGGATCACGGCCCCGTGGGAGATGTCGCGTCGCGGGATAGCAAAACTTGGTGCAAAACACCTCAATTCATGTCGATAACATAGTCAACGGCTTTTGATATCATACCAGCCTATAAAAATGCTTGCAAAATTGTATCACGACAAGAGGATTGGCTCATTGCAATACCTGGGAAATCATGGGGCGCTCATGGCTCCGAACAAGACTCTTACTTTCGAATAGCTTCGTCCTTGCTCCGGCAGACTTTGTTCCATAAAGCGTAGGTCGACCTTGGTATGTTCGTAAAGCGGACTGTTGACCGCACAGGTCTTTGGCAATTTGTCCTTCTTAAAAGCGGCATGGCTCGCAGCCGGCAAGGGAACAGTCCCAACACTCCTGGAGTGCTGCGGTGGCCTGTAGCAAGGAAATTCATGATCTCGTGGTATGGCGTCGAGGGACTGTCGTTGGAACAGGGCGGTTTCGTGCGGCGGCCTCGATCTTTTCTGGGAGCCCCGGGCGTGGGAGAGGAAAAGATCTGACAAGCTGGCTGGGCACCCTCGAGTATTTCTACATTTTCCACCTCTTGCTCCTTGACAGAGTTTTCAGACCATGTGCACAATCATTGTTGTCTCCTCTCTGTTTACCCTGAAGCCTGACTGCCCTGTGACTGTTGTTGCCATGGAACCCGAAACAGCCGCCGATCATTAATCTGCCTCCAACGCAGAAGATAGAGCTTTTTCACAACATGCATTAACACGATAGCTATTCTTCTCGTGACGCAGATATTGATAAACTCGAGGAAATATTGAAAAATGGACATGTCGTAAATCAACGCTCGAGACGAAGATGGGAGCACGGCTCTCCACATGGCTGCAATACGAGGGCTCAAGAGGGCTTGCATCAAAAGCTCCCCAGGGCTAGGGCTCGGGTTTCAGTCAAGGACAGCGGAGCGAAACAACCTCTACACCATGCTTGCTATCATGGCCGCCTGTCGTTCGTAGAGGAGCCCCTAGAGAGACGGGCAGATATTGAAGCCAAGAATCAATGGGGAGATACTTCGATTACATTGAGAGTGGATTTAAAGTGCTCATCAATCTCAGATCAAATCGAGAATGGCATCCCGTACGGATAGGTACGCAGCTCACTGCTCTCTGAAGTGAATCAGGGAGGCAACAATCATGGATTTCAAAACCAAGTCCAAGAATAGGTTAGGGAGAAGAGACATGAACAGAAACAATAGAAGCAGAGCGTCCATTTAGAAATCAACGATGGTCATGAGCTTCACCTAGCGGGGTCCATCGCTTGGGTCCCGTCCTGATCATGAACGTGGTTCGAAATGACCGCGCCGTGAGGGTGTGATTGAATTCCAATCTATGCAAACCTAGAACGGGATTTTGGTACGAGATACGAGATACGAGACATTGGCCAGCCTAGTCTAATTTTATGCGCCAGCATGTCCATCTTGGAAACGTCCATGATTTAATCCATTTGACTCCTGTTGATGACCCCCGGGCCGCGTCAGGCCCGCCCTAAGGTGTTCCAGTTAGTGCGGGATGCCGGACCCCGCTGAATTTACCCTTTTAGCGGCAGGTTATAGCGGGGGTGCGCTATAGTTTTAGTGGGCTACTGACCTAGACCCAACGGGACTATGGCGCGCCCCTCACGGCCTGGGTGTTGCGTCCAAGAGCAACAGGAGATGAAACATTTACACGGCGGCAAGAACAATGGGGAAGCCAAAGCACCAATGATGAAGATATTAAAGACAGACAGAGGGTAAAGTGACATGTTTCTGATTCAGGCTCTTGCCGTTGTAGCAGAGGTACATACGCCGATGGGATGGCTGGGGTTGGCGTGTCTCCAGTTGTGACAGTTGACCACCAAGATTGCATGAAGCAAGGGGCCGAGTCTTGGCATCCATGGAAATCTGGTACACGCGACGTGAGTCCATGCACCATGGATGGTGAATCATGGATGGGATGGGAAGAGGTTTCTCCCTTGGTAAACGTCACGCCAGGTCTGATGGTCTCAAAGAACCCCCTATTCCCTATCCAAGGAGCTTTGTGCCAATGGGTATTTTTGGCATCGCCTCTCATGACGCCAACAGTCGTCTTACTACGTAGTGGGTTGTCGTGTCGCAAGTAGACCAAATCCAGTCTTGGCCCTCAAGTCCTTGGCCATGTTCCCTCTTCGGCACAAGGACATGCCAATTGACGCCAGCTCTCACTGGAGAGAGCATCGCCGTCTGAGCATTGATAGCTCCCCACGACCTGCTGCATACTGGCTTGCTCCGTGTTGAACCTCTCGTGGCCTGAGACAATGTACGGCACATTGGACTAGTCGGGTGAGTTACAAAGCAATCAAGGCTTTCTTGTTTAAGCTCGCCTCTCCCAGGCTGGACTATGTTTTGCCCAAAGGACGAGTTTGGGTAAATGGAAGCCGAAAGCCTACTTATAAGTTCAAGCATTAAAAAACCCCGACAACGAACGCTTGCTCTGCACAAGCTCGTCCGATGAGCAAATCAGGGCTTTGCACAAGGAAGCATATGTGGCTAGAATAAGTTGCTCGCCATTTGATCACGTCAAATACTCGTTCGGTTGGTAAGATGTGACAGAATGGTACATCTGGCAATGAGAAGAGACAACAGACAACCTCTTAGTGCGGGCCTCCTCCAGTCTCCAGCAGGGATTTTAAATTTGAGATTGCTCTGTGGCGCCTGCAGGATGTAGTAGGTACTGGGGGCCGACAAAGCAAATATCAAAGACCTTGTGCAAGGCGCAGCCTGGCTATCAATTTTGGGGGTTTTTGGCACCCCCAACAAAAAGATCTCCTCAGATTCTTACAGTGCGGTTATGACCAAAGGAGGACAGATGATTTTCATGCCAAGACTTTTCACGGGGGGATACCCCCCGTGAAATCCCCACCAACCAAAACAATGCTACTGCTCCTATTGTGATCAAGGTCGACGACTCCTTTGCAGCATAACGCTGGTTGGCGGAAAGGTGCTTCGAGGGGTCAGCGACGACAAATAGTGCACCGTCGTAATACGTAATACATCATCCATCGTTGGCCTCGGGCAGGAATCCCCTTCAACATGTTGGTTCGCCCGGTTCTGTAGGTTTTGGTCCTTGGCACCACGATAGATCAAAGCACCCGCGATTTCCTGACCGAGTTTCTCCATGGCCAAGACTCCAAGCAATTTGGCGAGATTGTCATGGTTGATTGGAAGCTCATCCGCTAGATCTCCAGCATATTTCAACGCCATCTCCCCCAGCTTAGTCAAGATGCCTGACTACTTGGTCTTGGTCTCGATTGTAATGGGAGGAACTTTGAAATCCACCCCGAAATCTGGGTCAGTCTTGATGAGCGAGTGGACATCGTCGACAAGTCACCTCAATCTGAATCTCGCCTTTCTCATTCAACAAGCTCTTGTGGTTGCCACCCACGATGTTCGGGTTCGAGCCGGCGGGCTCTGGTTTGGGGATGATTCCTCCTCAGGAAGCTTGAGGCCAAACTTCCATCGGCTTTGGACGGCCGCCTTCCAGGCACAGCCAACGAGCTCACCACAACCGGGCTTCTTGCCATTCTTGCGGTTGGAACCTATCTGCATCAAGCCCTTGAAGTCCTTGATTTTGTTTGCGAACTCGTCGTTGATCTTGAGTCCGTCAAAGGACAATTTTCCATTCTTGTACCGGAATGTTACGGAATGCGCTTCGGTATCGCCTAGAAAATTGAACGGTAAAGCTACGCTCACGAAGAAGCTCTTCGTTCCTGATTCATAGCCCATATTGACTGGAATAGGGTCACAGTTAAAGATACTCAGGCCGGCCGTGACAGCCAGACTCGCAGAAGTAGTCGTCTTGTTGTTGTTGACTGTTTTCTGTGAGGGGTCGACGGAATTCGCAGGTCCGTCTTCTGTTTTCCCCATCTCAGGGTCTTTGCGGCCTGTGAGTTTGACAATCTCAAGATCCAATGGCTTCTTGTATACGGCCGAGATGCTGAAACCCTCGTTTTTCGAGGGGCCAATGTCGAGATGTAGATCGAAAGGCTGGTTGAAGAGATAGATGGCTGCCTCGAGATGGAACTCGACCTCAAGCTCCTTCGTCTCCCGCTTCAGAGGTAGTGAATGGCCACCGACTGGAATGCAAAGTTCTGATGGCTTTCAGATGCCCATGTAAGCTGCTTTTCTGCCGGGCCCGTAGGAGCAGGCGAAATATTCGAGGAAAGATGACCAACCGATAGTTCCGCACCAGGCTTGTCGTCGTACTTTAGGTAGACCCCTCGGGGCTTCTACTTCTGCAACAAGAGCTCGGCAGTGGCCATGGGCTCTTCTACACCGCCTCCAAACTTGACATTGCCGACAATCGTGATGCTTTGCTTCGTTTTGGTGAATGTACCCTGGGAATCGAGCTGGACGAGCTCGACGTCGAACATTTCCTTAAACGGTTCCCGCAATGCCGGACCACCAGCCGTAGGCATGTACCACGTTCGAGTCTCATCAAAGTAGAAATCAACAACAAGTTTAAGCTTCTGATTTTGAGCAAACTCGATTTCCAATGTTGCGTCCTCGACTTGGACCTTTCGGGAGCCTGGGACTCTTCAATCGCCCGGGAAGTATTGACCTTTTCCACTGAGGAGTAGCTTGCCCTCAAGGAGTGAGACGTTGTCGGTGCGGATGCCATACTCTCCGTCTTGATCTTGTCCTTTAAAACACGTGCGTAAAGAAGGATATTAGGGACGAGCTTCCCAGTTTCCAATTGAGTGGACGCATTTGATGGGTCTCTGTCGATGGCAGCAAGAGCCAGGCTCGAATTCAAGGGCCGATCGTTGGAAGTGATGTTCGAGGCAGATGGGAGGGTAATCTCCGCAAAGAGCCAAGCGTCTGGTGTGATGGCCTTGGAATCATGGTTGACTTTGGACACTGGCGCCTTCGTATTTGCTTGAGTAACATGACCAGGTAATAGGGCTGGTGGTTTCGGAGCCTGGGTATCCTCTTGCTCTGCCACTGTGACTGCATCTGTTGAAAGGTCATCTTTGCACACCGCCTCAACAACCTTGCCAACGGTCAAGTCGTCGGGTAGTTCCTTGACAGTGATGTCGTAAGAGAAAAATTGGACGGCCAGCTTCTTGACTAGAAACACGTCGGAAACAGCCGCCTCTTGACTTGTCCAAAGTTCCTCCACGTTCTGTGTGACTTATCCAGCGAAATACCGAGTCGTGCTTGAGTAGCCGTGAAGTTGTTGACGGTGAGGTGGCCGAGAAGATGAATCTCACATCTGTAGGTGCGGCTCTTCGCTGTGTTGGGATTCTGGGTTCCATTGGTCGTGCTTGAGGGAGAGGGATTGCCTGCTGAGGTTGATGCTTGCTGACTTTGAAATATGGTCCTAATCGATCAATCCTGAATTTCAGGTCATGACCGAAATGGCCCTTCCACACGCTGTCTCCGACAAACGAGAGCTCGAGGTACTTGTCTGGCATGACCACGAAACTGGCATTGAGGACAGACTTTCTGGTCAACCTGACGAGGTAGATAAAAACATGGCCATTAAAGGAAATTAATTCCATCTCATAGGATCGGCTCCCGATGAGCCCAAAAAAAGAACAGAAGATTCATATAGCAGCATTTCCATCTCGTGATATTGAAACTCCATTTTCAGGGCTATTCCATCCGGCAAGAGCTTCGAAGTCGGATCAAGATTTCAGGGGAGAAGTGGCTCCTTTGGTATTGCTCGGGTCGGAACTGCCATTGGTACCCTTGGTCGAGACTGGATGTTTCTGTGCTGGTGCCTTTACCAGATCCGCTGGAGAATACGTCAGCTTCAAGACATCTTGTCAAGTTGGATGGGAGGAGAGGGGTCAATGAGCGTGAAAGACTCTTGAGGCTTGATCATGACCTCGTAGTTAGAGAACTTGAACTTTCCTTGTTTGTTTCCGTTGATGACTGAGGGCTGATCAGTCGCTGTAGTGGCCGGAGACTGCTGTCATCTATCGAACAGCTCCTGGCTCTTCAGATTTCCCATGCCGAACGGGGCGGAGGTAGCATTGAGAGACTGTTTTCGCAGGTCCAAGCACTGAGCACCGTCTTGGAGCCCTTGACGCATTCCGAGGAGCGACCAAGATGCGTCCATGCCTACAGCCATTGCAACAGGCCTGGAGGGTGAGGAGATGTCAGACGATGCCACTGAAGCCGAGAACGACCAAGCGTGGCCCCAGCAGCGCGATAACGTAGACCAGGACGATGAGATGTCGGGTGCCGCCCCTGAAACTGAGAAGGAGGAAGTCAGCCAGGGATACGCAACAAGACAAGCGAGAGTGGCCTTGCTGTCATCAACGTCAACTCAAGCGATGACGCGGGAGGCATGAGCCAGGCAAGGAAGAGGAAGAGGCCAGCGAGGGGCATAGTCACAACAGAAATCCTGCCGCCAAAAGGGGTAAGACGGCTGCAAGTTGATGCTGCCTGCGTGGACACTGTCTTTGGAATGGTACGAAACCTAGCGAGTGGGAGGTTCGACAAGTATCATCTTTACACGCTACAGTTTCTGGCCGAGGCCGGCAGGAATCCTACTGCCGACGAGCTTAAAGAGGAACTACCGAAGTTAACGAAAGAGGTGCTCAAGGACCTCATCGATGACTTGCGGAAGATGGACCCGGCAGAGGATTCAAACATAGTCTTTGTGCAATTCCCAATCGACGGGGCAGATGAGGAACGAGCTCGCTGCTGGGAACAATGTTGCAAATTCTTCACTAGATTTGATTAAACCATGGAGGTCTTGGGTATGCGGCGTTATCTCACATAAGAGCCGGCGGATCATTAGATCCACGCCAACCTGTAAGGACTCGACAGGGAGAAAAGCAATGCGCTTGCCAGTGGCACTTTCCCTCCCAGAGCCGAGGCCTACAACCGAGACGTATCCATACGCAGGGATATCACGGACGAGGAGGCGAAATGGACCCATTACCTCTTACACTGTGCCCTGAAAGTCATTGACAGCGAAGGCTCAGCCACCAAGCTCGAGGATCTCGCTACAGCACGTGAAGCTACCTCACAGCAAGATGCGCATGAAAGCAGTGAGATGAATGATCTCAAGAGCGAGATTCGACACCTCAAGGCGGAGATCGAGATGAAGGGTTACGAGATAGAAAAGCTGCAGGAAGCGGGAGGGGAGCAGGAGCCTCAGCTTCAACTACTCATTGAGGAATTGGAAGAAGCCACGATCTGTTCTTTATTATAGTTGCAGCCCGGCCCTTGGTGGGTTAACTGAGCCCGAAGATTGGAAGAAGCCACAGGGAAGTCAGACCGGCTCCGGGCCGATCTTGAAAAGGCCAAGGATGACTTGCAAAAAGCGGCGGTTTTAGAAAACGAGTTAAAAGGGAAGATGGATACATGTGAGATAAGATCAAACCTGAAGATTGAGGAACTAACTAGGCTAGACATGGAGGCGACCAGCAGTAGGAATAAAATGAAGCTTGAGGCAGGATTTAGAGCGTGGCGAAAACTTGAGGAAGGAAAAACAAAACGCCTGAACAAAGGAGATGGACTACAATGACATCGAATGCAAGTTGCATTAGAAGGAGGCCGAGGTCGAGACGAAGAACATTGAGTTGAAAGGAAAGAACAGAGAGTTAAGTCAGCTGAGAGCGGGCATCGAAGACCTAGAAAGGAGAAAGATCAGGCCAATCGAGCTTCTGTATGAGGAGGGAAAGAAGGGAACTCAAGAGCTCGGTAGGAAGCTCAACGAAGAAAGCGAAAAGAGGAGGGACTTGGCCCTTCGTCTGCAGCGGCTGGAAAGGGAAAACCGAGAGATTAATGAATCAAAGGAGCGGCTTGAGCGCGAGGGATCGCAGCGAGTTCAAGAGCTAGAAACTGCCAACGACCGTCTACAGACTCAGCTAAATCGGGCGCAAGATGAGTCCCAGGAAGTAGGAGCTTCAAAGATGAAGACCGAGGAGAAAGACAGAGATTTGGAGGCCGAAATTCAGCTCAAGGCAAACGGAATAGAAAACCAAAGAAAGGAGATCGAGCACAGGGAAGAAATTATGGACGGATGTAGGAAGACGTAAGATAGACTGAGGGACGAAATAGAGGGGTGTAAAGGAGCACGAAGAAGAGACGCGGAGGAAAGGAGCGGCAGGGCGGGGTAGAGAGAGTATGAGCTTTTGCAGAAGAAGGACGAGCTCAACAAGAAACATGACGAGGTCAAACACGAAGATGAGGAGCTAAGACGAACCAGGAAAGAGCTCGAGGAGAAAAGCGGCGAAGTTGCTTAAGATGGTTGCCTATCTTAAGATAGCTATCTAATAATTATATATCTTAAGATAGCTTTCTATCTTAAGATGGTTGCCTATCTTAAGATAGCTATCTAATAACTATATATCTTAAGATAGCTATCTATCTTGAGATAGTTGTCCATCTTAAGATAGCTGTCTAATAACTATCTATCTTAAGTTGGCTGTCTGTCTTAAGATGTTGAGCTATAGAGGGAATAGCTCCGCAAGAAAGAGAGGGAGCTTGGTCAGAGGGAGGACGAGCTCAGCTAGAAGGGTTAGGAGCTATCGAGACGAAGGAAGGAAATTAAGGAGAAGGACAACAAAGCAAGGCAGAAAAATGAGGAAGATGGCAGTCAGCAGAAGGATAAGCTCGCAAAGGAGGATGATGAGCTAGGGAAGAGGGAGGAAGAGATTGAACAGAAAAAGACTGAGGTGAGTGAGAAGCAGGCACAGCTGAAAGAGACAGAGGATGAGCTGAGGCAAAAGAAGGAGGCGCTTGAGCAGAAGGGGGAAATGTGCGGACATCAGATGGGGATTATCAAAGGCCTAGAGCAGAGGTTACAGCCACAACCACGGAAGCTGCAAAGCACTCGAATGCTAGATCTCAGGAGCTAGAATCAGGAGCTGAACACTTGAATAGAGAGTTATCTGGCTCGATGGAGAGGATGGCCGACTTGGGGGCCGATCTAGCGCAAGCTCAAAGAACAATAGCAGAGAGGGATAATTAGGCAGAAGCACGAAAGGAGGAGATCCAAACGCTCGAAAACGAAAAGAGTCGGCTTGAGAGGCAAATCAAGAAGAATCTTGAAGAGTAAGGCCAGAGAGAAAAAGGTCTCGATCCTCTCAGGGCACAGTTACTCGAGGTATTGGCGCGAATAGGAATGAGCCAGGCAGACAGCGACTCGGCATCGCATCACCCCAACGACCTACCTCCCCTCCTATGCCAGGCCATCCGAAACCTCGAAACACAAACGGAGAAGAAGATAGCGACAGAGAAGGAACGTTGGTCCCAAGAGAGGACAGGTCTAGAGTCGACAATCATCGATCACGCCACTGCGAAAGAGAACACTGCTCGACTGCTTGAGGAAACGGTCAGGAACAGTCGGTCCAAGATGAGGTCCCTGGAAGAAAGCCTAAAGGAGATTAACGAAAAGAATCAACACCGTTCGGGAGAAATACAGGCCCTGAGGGCACAGGTAAACGATAAGATTCGCCAACTGGAAACTGCTGAGCGAGATGGTACGAAAGAGAAAGAGAATCACGAGGAGGCATTGCAGAGGGCTCAGGAGCGAAGTGAGTCTCGGATGAAGACGCTACAGGAGCACCATGAGGTCGCGTTGCAAGAGCTTCGAGGTCTCACTCGAATGGACGACTTGAGTTTGCAGGAAAGCCAATCGACAATTTCAAGAAAGCGATGAGGGCTTTTGACGGAGTGCATGATACTCTCTGGACCGCAAGATGTCACAAGAAACCGAGAAGCGCCTTTGACACGATAGATAGGAATCTCTCGGAAGCGAATGATAGTCTCGCCGAAGGGTGGGGGAGACCCATGAGATCGGAGTCTAATCTGAAGCGGATGAAAATACAAGTAAAAGGACAGTCGAAGAGAGAGAGGGGCGGTTTGAGCTGTGGTTCAGAAACCAAAGCGGAGGTTATGCTAATGACAAGGCGCGAGATGATACGGAACGAGGGGCGCATCGACTGGGATCCGACACGTAACTTAATCAATTGGGCGGCAGTCTATCGGCAGCTCAGATACTGGGAACAGGGCTCCTCTCGATGCACGCGAAAATGAGGGCCCGAGGCAGAGCAGGGAGACCACCTCCACCACACCCAGCTCGGACGGGGACCCGACACGAGCAATGCGAGTTGATGCCGATACTGAGATGAGTCAGTTCATTCCAAGCCAGCTCTTCCAGAATTCTAGATCAGTTCAAAAGCTGGTCTCCGACGCGGAAAAAGCGAATCGCTCGCAGGAGATTATACGTCTGAGCGGCGGAGGCCACATGCCTGAGCAAGCCCAAATTGGCCAGACATTGGACTCGATACGGCGAGAGGTGTGAAATCAAGAACGGCGCCGATATAGCCATGATGAATACCATCTTGGCCATAGATGAAAACGTCAAGTTGATTCTCCAAGATCCGTCAAAGGGCCCTTTTACGTTGCATGGCCCAGAACATCACGACGTCGTCAATATTAGCAGCAAAACTAGTTCAACCGATGATGAGCAGCTAGAGGTGTTGAGTCCCTCAATGGTGGGCACAGAGTGATGAAGGATAACCAGGAATACGTCAATTCACGAGTGAACGGTGACCTTTAGTCGACCAGATCCTCCTCCTGCATGGACCGAGAACGGAAGACCAAATCCACTGGAAGGAGAAAGAGATCTTCAACAGAAGAGAAGGGATCGGATGCGGGCGGTAGCCCACATTCAAAAAGCCGACGACATCGCAAAGAGACACGTTGTCAACAAGGCAGCCGGCCTAGGAAGCGGGCTGGCCGACACCAAGGAGATGAGGCGAGAAAGTACGAGATCAGTCCTTCTCTTTGGGGCATTCTCAGACCACACGCCCATCATCAACATGGGTCGTCACTCGTCAGTGCCTCTAGTTCTTTTAACACCCCTCCCCGGGCGTCACGTTGTTTCTACATATATGGACCGGAAGACGTTTTCGGGCGCCTCGAAAAGCCAGTCCAAGGTCTTACTGGCGCTGTATCCCACACAATACCTCTGTCTCCTTGCGATTTTGACAATAGCTCTACATTCACTGTTCTTTATGGCCAGTGCGGGTCCATAGACCATGTCAAGATGCAGACCCTCCCCTGGCACTTTGACGAGGGAGGCTTCACCCTCGCTGCGCCATTCTACTTCTATCAGCAAGACTTCCTACGCCGCAGCGTGAAACCACAGCTTCTCGATCGCATATTCCAGAACTCCACCTTGGGTCAAAGTTTGTTCTGCTCCACTCCAATAAGATCCAAAGACGTTTTTGGAAGGACTATTCTGAGCTGGACCCGGAGTTGACGTTACAGGGCCGTTCGTACCGTTCGTACCGTTGGCCTGGTTGGTGATTTCTTGTTGTCGGCGGGCTTGGCTCGCCTCTATAGTAGTGGAGCTCCAAGGACGTAACCGACACAAGAGCGCCGGATGCCTTGTTCAACTCAACGGACTGAACCTTCTCAAAGACGATATCCAGCTTATCGATACACTTGTCGGCGGTGTTGATGAGGATGGAGCCCTCCTTTTGGGCAAGATTACCAAGGACAGGGACAATGGCATTGGCCATGTCTTCAGACAGCACACTCTTCAAAAGTCGCCCACCGTGCCGCGATTCATAGGAATGAGCTCCGCGTAGAGTAAAGAATCACTTGACAGGTATGCTATACTGCCAGTGAAGGATCGTCCATAGAGAGTGGCTTTGGCCGAGAAAGTCTTGACCGATTTACCGCCGGATGAAGAAAAGTAGTCATCAGTGTACCGTGTGAATGACAGCGGAGGGTTGATAAACTTCAACGTCTTGGTTTCTCCAATTGGAATCACCAGCTCATTCTTCGACAAGCTGGGCACTCACATTCAAGACAGAAAGCTTGGTGTCGTTTGTCGGCTTGTCGCCCGCAGGAAGCCTCTTGTATCCAACTTGCACGCGGAATTTGTTCAACTGGAAATCAAAGAGATCCTTAACAATCGGGACAGCGCTCAGGTCTGAGGAACACTTGATCAGCTCGGTGAGGGTGAGGCCTCGCGGAGCATCCACTGCAATGTATTCAGGAATGACCGTTTGAGGAACTCGACAGCTCACTGAGAAGTACTTGTCGACTGCCTCCCTGTAGAACCCTGCCTGGCCTTCGCAGTTGAAGCTTCCCCCAAGTAGCTTCGAAATGTTCCATTGCAGGTCATGGAGGTGGAATTTGGGAACAATGGCCATCTCCTCGTCGATGAGTTCCACTCTCCAGTCGCTAAATTTGACTTTGCTAGAAGCCAATGCCATCCCGAGAGACAAATATTTTATCTTGCTTTTCTTGACCAGGGCCTCCAGTGGTGGGAATGAAGTTGTCATGTTGGTATCAAGATTGAGGCCAACCGTGCAAACAATATCATCGACACTAAGACCACTTTCGCAAGTCAGATCCAGCTGGACGTCAAAGTTGGAGGAGGTGGCGATGGGCTCTGTGACAAATCGGAAGCCAATGTATCTCTTGACTTCGACTTCCCCTTCGGCTAGTGTCGTTTTGATGGTGACAAAGTTGTATTGGAACTCGATTTCGACCTTGACATGATGGCGAGCTGCATTTGTGGGGTTTGAGACAGTGATTGTAGTTGCTGGATTCTCGATCCTGTCCAACCTCAGCTCCGAAGGCAAGTATGACTTCCAGTTGTCAAAATTGACAGTTAAGAAGATGCTGGAAAGCTCAAAGTTGACACCTTTCTACTCACTCGATCGAAGTGTGAGCCCCACCGCCGTGGACGTTTCTCTGAGACTGGCCAGCGAGGAAAATGACTTGTCATCGTTCGATCCTTGCTTGGCCGTCGGTGGAACTGGCAGCTTCTCGAGCGAGTTCGGCGGAATCGACTGACATGACTTTGGCGAGATCCACAATCGACTCGAGATTTTGAGCCCCGAATCTCAGCTCAGCAAGATAGTCGGTCATCTCTAAGGACAGCTTGAGCTCCAGTCCGCTTCCGCTGGCTGCGTTGGCCACGACGATTTTGGCAGCAGCGTTGAGAGTGATCTTCTCCGCCGAGGTCACCATGTAGCTGAGATCGAGACCAAGATCAGTGACCCGGAGATTCACCACCGATAGATCAAGTTCTGGAAGTCCAGGCACGCCGGCAATTTGGTAAGGAATCTTGGCACTGATGATTTGCAGCCGACCAACGGGAGACGTTCCATACGTGAACTCGGAAGTATCTAGGTCCGGCTTGAGTAAAGCCAGCGAAGCCTTGGTGGCAGTGCTGGGCAGGGCTCTGCAGAGAAGTTGTGTGACCTTGATTTCGTCATCGAGACAGTCCGCAACAAGGCGGTCAATGGAAACGTCGTTGAAGAGTTTGGCGTCGGTGCCGGCCAGCAGAAGATAGTCTCAGAGGGAGGGTGTTCTTGCCTTCAATGGAGCTGCCGTGCTAAGTTCCATAGACGTTCCATCCGTTGTTCCCCATCGTTCAGTCTAATCAAGCCTACTGCCCGCCCTTCTGCGTCTTGGCACTGAAGGCATGGCCCTCAAAGGCAGCCTGCAACAGCCTGCAACGGGTGATGTTGGCAAGCGTTACGTATGTGAACTCTTTGTACCATTTTGGCTACCTGGTAACCAAAGCGACCGGAAGCTGAGCCATGGGGGCAAGCAGGCCCTGGAGGTCTAAGTCGGTCGGGATAAAGCATCTGCATCTTGCCGAGAAGGACCCCGACCTTTGGGTCGAAAAAGAGCGTCGAGCTAATTCCTCCCATCATAGCTGCTATTCCTGCCGCAATGGCGCCCACTGAGATAAAGTTGGAATAGACTATGCTGTGTTCCAGAACTCTTTGCTCCGGTGGGGTTGCCAGCGTCGCAAAGCAACGTAGGTGGGATGCATAACTACTTGAATCCAGCAGCAGGCGCCGGGGGCTTCAGACCGCTTCATGCCCCCCATATTTCTGAGAAAGAGAGGTCGGGAAATAGAGCAATTGGCTGGCTGCTACACTGACTCCAGGGGATATTATCGGAAATCACGTTTCTGACTGTGCTTCCTCAATCCATCTCCATGCCGCTTCCTCTTCTTAGATCTATAAGATCAGTTATTCTAAGCTCTCAGACGAACTCATTGACTCCTGGATGAAATCGGTAATTTAGCTTGATCAGCAATGTTATCAGCTTGAAGTGAGCAAGGAACATAACTGCGATCGGAAAATGAGGTGGGAGCTGCTGTGAGATGCTCGGTCGTCTGCAAACTAAACAGTTGCCGTCTTGCAATCGTATATGGGTATTTAGCCGAGAAGAAGGAACCGCACAGCTGGGAAGCCTCCAAAAGCTATAGGTCTCAACCGTCTTGGGGAATTGGTTGAGATAGGCCGGCCCATTTAGGATGGTTCCAATCCCACAGACTCCTGCCACTCGCCATGTTCGCCGGGGAATCTCCATTTTTAGACGTACATTATTACTCAAAATTTGCCTTTTTCTAGCATCTAAGGCAAGGCTTCCAGGGTTCAGCGGGCTCCCGTTGATGGAGAAGTAACGGGAGGTGGCATCACTGGAGTCGACGTTTGTAGCTGCTCTCTGGCGCCAAAGTTGGCAAGGGTTTTCCTTGACCCAAGGCGCTACGATGAGGATCACGGTGTAGGCGCCCTGCATAGAGTTGTGCTGAGCATTTGGTCGGACGCGCAGGGGACGGAGGAGACGCAGCTTGCTTCTGATAATGTCCCAACAACAGTAGAGAGGAAGGAAGAGGGCGAACTCGATATCTAAACTACATCTTGCCGTTCCTTAGACCTCTAAAGTTTAGCCCGCAGGAGATAAATATCGAATGCATTTATCAACGAGGATGAATGGTTCTATTCTATTCGTTCGCCTAAGAGCTTTTCTAGCCTGCCCCTCTATTGAAGGTTGGGACTCCGTCGCCATCTCGGACCTGAGACGGCATAGAGAGAAGCGTACAATGGCATCCGAGCTTGAAACATTCTGGCCTTCCGGAATGTGCATTGTACAGACCCATTTCATCTTGCTGGTACAAGCTCTCGGTTACGGTAAGGGGCGGGCTCGGTTGAGGTTGGAAAAGCAGGTCTCAGAATCTCGGGTTCGGGCTCCCATTTCACTACCGCCAGACAGCGCCTTTTGTCTCTGGTAATCCCCATGCTGGGGTCCTGGTTTCTTTTGGCCTACACAAGGTCAGTCACATAATTCCTAAAATTGATTGTAAAGTCCCTACCGCGCCAGACTTTGCCACGGACAAGTCAGCCGATGGCAACGGTATCGGACGAAGCCTGCGAAAGCATCTTGTATGGTAGCCGTTGGGCTGCAAAACTAACTCCTCGGCTGCTGCATCCGGCTGGTCTGTAGAGGAAAACTGTTGAAGTGGCCAGAGGGGCGTGCGCTTGGTATGATGGCGTAGGATATTGTAACAACACGACAAGTTACGAAAATGACAACTGCAGCCCCCATTCTATTTATACATTTGAGAATGGTCTATTAAATTATGCACCCGTGCGAGACGAGAGTTTGCTGGCCTCTCTCATAATCTCTACGCCAGTCCTCACACTCCCGATTAGCCAAAGTTGGCCGACCATTGTCTTGGTTTCAAATGCAAAGAAAAACTCCCATGGTGCATTATCAGATACGATGGTACCATGAGCAGTGGTACACTACTGTCCGCGGCCGTCCTCCCTCATTGAGGCGCCCGGAATGGCCGCGAGGCATTCAATAAGATGCCTCGGGTTATGCATAGGTATTGAATGAGTAAGAAACCTGGCGACGCGCTCTGAAGCATCGGATCGTGCAAGGAGGACTCGCTGCATCGTGGTATAAGAAGCTTCACTCGGGGTGCATCCCTGCGGCTGTAGAAAACCCTCACTGCCCTCAAAAGAATCCCAACATGACCAAACTTGCCATCTTGCGAGCCAGGGGCAGGCTCATCCGCCAAATCCGCAAGGGCCCACGCGATATGTGAACAACCTACTCTCCACAGCCGATGATACTATTAATCCATCCATATGGCTGGTTGACTCGAGAGTCAAGAGGTGCCGACCTACCTACCCTACGCCTCGCTGGTGCTACCCGAGATGAGGCGATAAGATAAGATAAGATTCGGATGATAAGATTCGGAGCATGACCGGCCCGAACCAGATACCCATCACGTGAGATCGCGCTCCTCACGCGTTTTCCTCTTTGTTTACTTTCGTGAAGCCGACACTCATTCACACACACTTGATCTAGGCATCAACGACCAACTTGAATCACTGCGACTTCTCTTCTCTTCTCTACTCTTCTCTACGCAACGCCTATCCTCGCCTACGAATCGCTGTTCCTTTGATCGACTGGGAATCATTGTCTCCTTCATCACCTGTGAATCACTGTCGCTGAGCAACGCCGCCTTACTTCGTCCATCATCCATCGATCCACCACGCCGCCGCCGCTGTCCACGATGAACGCCGCCATCAGCGGACAACGCTCGCAGTCCGAGAACCTGAACGGCGCACTCGATAGCCTTGAAAGGTTCGTTCATCAAGCCAGGAATGCCCTGTCCCACCCGATAGTCGACCCTGAGGCTGCAATCCGGGCTGCAACCGAGAATGTAACCCAGGCTATGATGTCGCAGATTTTGGCACGGTTCGACGCCCTGGACCGATCCATAGCTGGGGTCAACCAGAAGGTTGGTCGACTTGACCAGAGGGTTGGTCGAGTGGAGGAGAATGTCGCCGCTGTCGATCGCAAAGTTGATAACCTTGGCCGCAAGCTCAGTTACTAGTGAGTATCATGCCCAACACACAGCTCCACCTGCCATCATCCACGAGCAATCTGGCTGACAGCAATCCTTTGCAGTGACCACAACGCTATCGCTCGGGTGAGCAACAGCGGCGCGACGAAGCGCAACTTTGAACTCACTGCACTGTTGAATGTCGAAACTGGCGAAGAGATCTCTTCTTTCCCCGCTACCTTTGGCGAAGCGGATCAGTTGAGCGGTGTGTTGGCCCCGGTCTGAGCCTTGTTGATAATAACTCTGACATGTTTCTCTACCTAGGCACCGAAATCACACGAATTCTTGGCGAGCTTGGACTCTCGACCCGGGGCAGCGTTCCCGACAAGAGACGACGATTGATGCTGGCCATTGGCCTTGGCAGCCGACCTCTGTAACCATGATGTTTTGATATGGATCTACGACGAGTCGGTGTGGATGTGTCAGGATGAATGTGAGGGAGCACAGTACCTCGCTGATGATGAATTTTCCTGGTATATGTAGATTTATGAGTATTGTGGTTGGGAAAGTAACTGGGATGAATCCAAGGGGGACATATGGCATCAGCCAGATCACTGACATCAGCCGGAATGATGACTCAGTTGGCTATTCGGAGAGCTGCACGTGTCCCCTTGCTAGGAAGGAATTATAACATATAGGGCCAAGGCAAATCATCCGGACTCAACCCTTAGGTTGCCTGGGCTGGAATGAAGTTGGCAATCCGTCACCCTGGTGTTGCGAGCAAGTCTCGTTGTGGTCAGGCAACCTCTCGTTCTGTCGAGGGGGGTTTTCATTGTGACGAGAGGAGTTCTCAGCTGGGTCAAGGTCATCCCCGTGGCTGTATGAGTTATCGTAGTTGTGAGATGGGGATGGAGTCGCGTGGCTGGGGGTATTGGGCTTGGGGGAGGACTCTTTTTCGGTGCGCAGCGAGGTGTTCTCGTTGTGCTTCGACTCGTCCCGACTGGCATCCTGGAAGTTGCCTCCACTGCTCTGTGAGCTGCCGTAGTCTTGGCATGAGTCGTTCCGAGAGAAATGAGATGTGCTATTCTCGCGCTGTGGCTTCTCATCTCTTGGAAATCGCTTCCTGATATGGCCGTCTGGCGATGGGAGGGCGAATGCATCCAAAGGATCAGTCGAACTGTTGTTCAAGTGGGGGGCATTGCGATGACGCTCACCCCTTTTTTACACGATACTCTCCATCCCCGTGAGCCGCGAGGCCGACAAGGAGGCTTTACCCAGCACTCGCGACATCATCATCCAGCTTCACAGAAAGACGGATTCCCTCTACCGCATCATAAGCAGGAGCCCCGAGGGCAGTCAGGCAGAGACTCGGGCACAGAAGCAGATTGACGCGTGGAAAAGGGTTGGGGCAGTGCTGTTGGAGCCTGAAATTCGGGCCCTGTATGATTTTGAGATTCTGAAAGGCTGGAGAGATGGAGAAGAGGTAGTCGATGTTTTGATGCAGAACGATATGTGTGGTGGGAGATGGAAGGAGAACGAGTAAAGGTCAGTGAAGGCTGTTGGGAGAGACTATAGTTGGGCGAGAAGCTGGTGAGTTGGGGCATGGTTTGGCCTTGGGTGTGTGGCCGCGGCAAAGGCTGCTCACGATACGCTCTGGCACGTTTGTAACATGGTTTTCGCAGAGGGATATTAAGCTGCTCTTCTGTGTGATAAGGAATCATACTTTTGTGAATCCAGGTATCTTTACCTCATCCTATTAACGATCTATCGACGCAATTATCCCATCAAGAGCCGGGCTTCGACAGCATCATCGTCAACCCCCAATGATGGCTCTTCTTCAAAGCCTGCTTTGCTTGATGCTTTGATTCATTCAATTTTCACCTGTTGCAGATTACAAAGACTACTCCTTTGTGGAATTGGCGACGCCAACAACTGTAGCTTGGCCACACCCACAGTGACTAAATACGTGGCCTGGAAGCCCAACCATCAAAGACTACACGGTGACTACGGTACCGAAGGATGCTGCCTGCTCCGGAATTACCTCCTTGTTGACAAAGGCGAGGATCTCCTGCCTGAATGGGCCCATTTTTCTCTTTGATGTAGAGTGGCAATATGTGTGCCTGGCTTTCTGTATATGTCTGTTTCTGGTTGAGCTTTGTCCGCTGGAAGAAGATATGTTTCCTAAAGGCGATGTTGTATGTTGTCTCTTCAAAGAGTAAAGATGTCCGTCATTACTCGAGAATGATTGCATGGTTTGCGCTCTGAATTTGTAAATGGTGACATTTATGAGCGTTTGAGGCCATGGAGTGTTGGAAGGCCTTGAACACCATGGAACGTGACATGATGTATGCCGCCTGGCATGTATTCACTTCGTCGACTCTAATATAATAAACCCTGCACCCAATTCCTCCAAGACTTGATACCTTCATCTACCGGCCAATACCTTTGGTAGACCTAAACTCTACTCCCTCAAGATCTCCATCATAACGTACTTGGGTCTTGAAACAACCCAACACAACTCCAAAAGCAACTGGCTTACCTCTCGTGTTGCTCACCCACTATCGTGCCATCTCACGACTTTGCAAGGCCTGTCTCGTCATTCTCTGGGCCGTCCTCCCACCACCTTCATCATCATGCCGGCCCTGACGGTTGAGCAGAGGGTCCACCTCAGAGCTCGTGAGTTTCAGCGTCTCGCTGCCGACAATAGACAGCACAAGCAACAGAACGATGGCTAAGATATGCCCAACGCTGGTCTACTGACGGATCACGACCTACACCTCGCCTCACTCATCGAGCCCAGCTTCAGCGAGGTTGAAGACGAAGAAAGATATCCCGAAAACTACATCACTAAGGCAAACTCTTTGCGCCAGGCCCTGCTCGCGTTCCGTAGAAACGCCTAGGACATTGTCAGAAGCAACCGAGAAGGGACAGCCCCCGTTGGACTATACGACGAAGAAGGGATACTTGATGGAACCTAGATAGAAGTCGAGGAGCGAAACAGTGATCAAGACTCGGTTTCCTCTGGCCTTTCCACTATGGGAGTAGCTGAATCTCGACTCACTTCCCTCTCACAGCCAAAACTCATTGGAAATACCATCCAGAGAGGAACTCGGGAGCATCGACAGACGCGACAAGCCAGCGCTCTGGCCGAGAGCCCAGGCGAATCCGTGGGACCCAAGAAGGAGACCGAATCTCTCTTCAACCACTGGCCTCCGTACAACGACTCGGTCAGGGCCGTGGAGATGCCTACCATTACTCCTCCAAGCCCTCTTCGCATTGAAACGCCCATACAGCAGCGTCACAACAGCCTGGAAGATGTCCTGCCAGAACCATCTCGCGATCCCGTCCTCACGCACGGAAACCTTGAGCGATTCGAGGACTTGCGGAAGAAAGCAACCAACACCAAGTGGATGCGCGATGCCAGACGACAGCTGTGGGATGAGGACTGAGCCAAGTCGATGTTTAGACTATCTCTGGCCGATATCAGATAGGCGCACTGGAAAGGGAGCTGTGACCATGTACTCGGCATTGTAGGGCTTGGCGAAGGGCCAGTGTAGTTAGTAGTAGCACGCAATAGATAGTCTAACAAGAGGACCTATAGGGTCTTTCGGCGACAGTATCAATTGAGCTGTGTAGTACCCTCTTTGTAACATTGCGAGAGGTGGCATGTCTAGGGGCAAGGAAGCTTCAAGCTTGATGCCCTACAAAGTCTTGGCCATCCATTTCAGGCGGCCCATATACACGTGTGACTACGTTTTTTTGCTGCTATGGCTGACAATCTCTCGCGGACTTGTTATTGAAGATAATGATGAGTTATGATATATAAACGTATCACTAAATTATAACGGATAGGAATAGCAAGGCAAAAGAACCAGAGCGTAGGGTAACATCCATCTTCTACTGACAAGGTTCAAAATATGGCAAACCACCAAAAGTCCGAGTTATCCTGCTCGTCCGAACCAAGTCTCTCCCCCATCACCTGCCGGACAAGCTTGGCAGTTCTGCAATACTCATCTCGGCTATTTACCAGATCCTCGTACAGGCCGGGGTCCGCTTGTTGCATGTCCACCATTGCCGCCTAGGTAATATTCCCAATTATCTTGCCGGACAGCGTGTCGATGGCGTCGCACAACTGGTCTGTCGAACAGGCTCGCAATTCCTCTAGCATCAGTGTCGTGATTTCGGCCTCGGGACTTCCACGACCAATGCGTCGAGTATGGCTGACGGATGAAGCCGACTCTGACGGTGTAATAGAAGATGCCGTCTCCAAAGAGATAATGGTCGTGGGGGATGACGAGAGCATGCTCGGGATGTTGGAGACACTGACGGGTGTATTGATGCCAGGCGTGACAGGCTGAACCAGTGGTTGCTCTGGCGGGAATTGGGGAACATGAGGGGGAGGGGGAGGTGGCATTCCATTTGTTGCCGCGCCCTGTGCAATTGGGGCCATTTGTTGCCAGCCGTGAGGGCACCAGTGATGGTGGTTGATGTTGTAGTTGTTGTTTGCGTTGGCCGCAGCAGGGCCAGTCTTGCTGTTGGCGTTGGCGATGGCTATCCCTCCCCGAATGGCATCGTTTGAAGCGTTGTCGTTGCCCCCTTGGTTGGTCGTGTTATTGGTTTGGGGAGTCTCGGGGGCTGGGGCCGGGGCGTCAGTCATCTCAATGTCGTCGCAATCGTCTTCACTATCGTCGTGGTATTGATCAGCGTCGTAGTCGTCTTCCAGAACCAACGGAGCTTGCACAACGCCTTCAGCGCCACGGCATGCGTCAGGGCCTGCGGCCGAGTTGACAATGTTGGAAACATTGGCCCCCCTGACTGTTCCTCTACCGTTGGTGACGTTGCCGTGGATGACGGTATTCGCTTCGACGTGAACGGCTCGAGGAAAGAGTGCTGCTGCCGCCACTCGTCTTGCTTCTACGCCGCGCAGAGCTACAGCACGAGGGTTTTCGGTGTGCTGCCGGGCTCTTCCCAGGTGTTGTCCAAAGACCACATTCCAGTTTGAGATCCAGCCTGGTCGGTGGAGGAAGTTGTCGGCATCCTCACGCCAGGTGTACTCGGTGACGCCTTGGTTGAGAGCTTGCTGGATGATGCCACCTCTCACCATCTCGTTGATCCGTCGTCTTACGCATGCCTGAACCTTGGGGAGCATGAGGTTGTAAACGCCTGTGCCGTGGCCCGTAAGGTACATGTCCTCCATGAGCTGGTGCAAGCTTCGGCGCTATGTCTGTGCGGTTAGACGATTCGAAATGATATGATCCTGGATCGAGGTACGACAGTCTGGGCCAAAGGTGAACCTGGTGCCCTGGTCACGGAGATGTCGGTACGACTGGCCGCATATTGTCTGCAAGGTGGTCAGCCAGAGTTCGATGGAACCGAGTTCCATGCTATAACTTGCCTCGCGGTCATTACTGATACACATGCTGCCAATTGAATGTCGACGGGGGCGAGATACCAGCAGAACCTACCAGGGGTAAAACGAAATGACTGGCAGGGAAAGGCCAAAGAGGAGTGCCGAGGGGATGTCGTGAGAACAGGCAACAGAATATGCCATGCATGGAATGGCCAATCTCTCGCCTTCAAAGGTCCTTTCAACACGTCTTGTTTCAGGGCCAAACTGCTGGCTGCCCGGCAGTTTGGCGACGGGACGAGGGCAACGACAGCTGCAAGGCACCCTCGATTCCATGACACTGCATATCAACACAATCCCTTTATCGGCAGTTGAATGGTGTCGGGTGTAGGTCCCTAGTCTTTGTTCGCTTCTCGATCGCTGTTCATTGTCAAAGGGCCTCGCCATTCTACACGAGCCAAGGCAATCTCGGAGATTTGTCGACATGTCATATGAATTGTTGATTCCCATGCCTCCAGAGCATATTCCACTTTGACAGTCTTCACACCTTCAACTTCTCACCCAAACCTTCATGAACAGCCTCCCGCTCTTCCTCACGATTCTTCCCCAGCATCGCCATCGCCGACTGGCCTGAGATCCTGACGTATCCCTCCACCAGCCAAACGACATCATGGCCGACACCCTTGCACAAAAGTTCGATGCCGCAACCGCCGCCGCTATCCAAAAGGCCAGTGTCCTGGAAGAGAGCAAGCCAAGCCGCCTCTCTGACGATGACACCAAGGTCACCAAGACAGCCGTAGCAGGTATAATGGGCTGCAAGGGGGATCACCGCGTGCTTTCCGAGATCGAGTTCCGGGTTCTTGTCTTTTACGCCAGCCGCCTGCAGATGACGGACCGTGTCAACATCCTCGCCACTCAGGCGTCATTGATCGTTCAACGGCGCAAGGCTGATCAGCAGCTGCTGACAGGCATGGACAAGGAGTTTGTCAAGTTTGTGTCGGCCGGTATCCTCAAGCTCATGGCAGACACGGGCAAATCGAAGCAGGAGCTCCACAAGAGCAGCATCGACATCATCGAGGCAGCAGAACGCTCTCGGGCCTCAGGCCCAGGCCGCTCCGTTGTCTCTGCCACCACTACCCTTCTCGAGAGTCGAACAACTGTCCACCTGGGGTAGCGGGACGACAAGCATCACCGGGACCAAGGCAGCCAAGATAGCCTCGGTCATGCGAGCGAACCCAGGCTACTTTCCCGAGCCTGAAGAGCCCGACAACTGGTTCAGACTCCCACAGCTTAGCAACGGGCCCTCTCTTCCGAGCTACCAAGATGCACGCAAGATGGCACCGCTCAAGACGGCCCAGGAGGCCGAGGCCATCTACACGCAGCGCCTGAGACATCACGAATATCCCCTCCAGCAGTTGATCAACAACGATGGGATGATGTGGAGACTGAAAATGGAGTGGGGACTGAAATGAGACTTGGATGCGAGATGAGACGTTGAACTAGTATCGAGACAAGTAGATGAAGCTGGCATAGAATACACTCATTGACAACTCCCAATTCATCCGCAATCTGGCCTTCAAGGGACATCACATCTGACTTGGCCGTCTAGGCCGGAACTCACGAAACTGCTTCTGAGGGTTTAACCCCTGTCTTATCATGACCTCCATCATATGGGATGTTTCGGCCACCTTGAACAGTTCTGGAACCGTCCTGTTAGCCATGGCGTAACGTGTCGTGGCCGATCTGAACTGCACCGCCCAGCTCGAGTGCCACTTGGGCGAGTCGGTGGTGAAACGACACATGAGCCGCTGATCGACGCCCCTTTCGTGTTGCATCAAATCCCAGAACTATAGCTGCGCTGCAGCGGTCGAGTCAATTGTCGAGAGGGTTGCGATGGCACGGCTGATGAGCTTGGGGATAATCCTCAAGATGTACTCGTTGTAGTGTTGGCGGGTGAACTGCACGGCATCGAGTAAATCCAACGCCCACAGATCCTGGCTGGCCGGGAGATCTTTCTCGATCTGATCAAGGATGGGCTCAAGCTCGGTTCGTACCTTGGCGAGGCTTCGGTGCATACGATTCAAGGCCATCAAGGTTTTCGCGTTGCGCCCTTCTGTCGTACTCTAGAAGATCTTGACCTTTTCAGCTGTCTCTTGGCTAGAGTTGGCTTGGTCGAGGGCGACGGCGAGAAGAAGCGGTGACGAGCTGCCTACAAGAAGTCGGCCCTCGCGGTTGAAGTCAGTTATGCTATCTCCGATGGAAAGCAGCTCGGTATAACAGACATTGAGGCGATCAGCCAGGGCCGTGCCATGCCCGGGCAAGCCGCTTCCCTTCCAAGAGGTTAGTCGTAGATTGATCTCCCACAGCTCCTCGTGAAATGCAGTCATCATGGAGGGCAGGTGACGGGGAAGAGGGACGGACCCGTCCAACTCAAAGGGGGTAAGCAGGGGAACAAGAACATCTTGATAGTCACGGTAGAGCAGGTGGACCGGCTGCCAGATGTTGAACTCGGCTGTCTGGTTGGTCGAGGATGTAAAGACCCAGCCGGGATGGCCGCCAGGGAGAAAGGTTGAGATGATGGCAACAAGGGCAATAATGGCAAAGACCAAGCCTGCACCAGGAGGGGCGGTCGGTGGAGGAGGACGCCTTGCTCCAGTAGTCCCAGGAGGGTTCCTGGGCGACTGTCGAATGGACGAAACGCGAAGTGGCAACCTGGGGGCGTCTGGTGAAGAGTGGGAGGGTGAGAAGATGACAGTACGAGAGTGGGGGGACGTCATCTTGGTCAGGAGACAAGTCTGGCAATGGTTCCGACGATGCTCGATATGCTGATGGTGCGTAATATGTGCGGGCCCGTCTCGGTTGTCGTCGCCTGGCGGGGGCTGGGACAAGGGCAGGGGTAGAGCGAGTGGAGGGGAGGTCGCGTCGTGGGTCCATGGTGTTGATGTTGATCAGGGATGGACTGTTACATAGATTACTTAATCCGGCTTAGACCCCAGGCCAAGTTACTTGCCATGGCACAGGGAAAGATGTACGGTGCCTCTGTCGTTCTTTTAAAGCCAAAAGGTTGATTTCTGATCTGTCATTACTATGATGTAGGAGAAGAAGGGCTCGAGATGATCTCTGATGAGCAAACGAACAAAGAACCCAGGATAGGTGCCCATTCTCCCGAGGGAGGACAAGCCCGGTGCTAGGTAAAGCCGATTCCGATCCCATGTGCACGAGCCAGCAATCCCAATATGGATTAAGTTCCCGTATCGCAAGAAAGGAGGACCCCTACCCGTCTTGACGATTGTGCTACAAGACAAAATTGAAGCTGAAGATGAATCGTGATGCTTGAGGTTTTGGTGTTTGAGTTCATTTTGCGTGCCTGTAATTTCCTGGAGCCCCCTGTACTGTAGTCCCTCCAGGCCCCGACTGTAAATGCTCTTGCATGAACTATCAATTTCCATCCCTGGAGCCTTCAATTCCTCAAGTCCTCTACTTGCATCAATAGAAGCATGTAGCGTCTCAAGAGTTGACAGGTTCGAGGATCAACACACAGGACATGGTTATCTCATGCATCATTGCCAGTCATTCCACTCACCATCACTTCCAGCCGCCCTTTAAAGACAGGTGCGGAGCATAGAAAAGGAACGCACTATTATTTCGGGCATGATCACACGCCGTCTAACCGAGTTGTGTCTACAATGTATCATGAAAAACAATCCGTCCTGTCCAGTTTGGCCTATCTATCCGTCCATCTCAATTCTCTGGCCTGCGAGCAAATGACGCCTCCCACTCGAAACCACTCATCACTATGACTGCCGAAGAGCTCGAAACTGACGATCGATCTCCTGCATTTCGGTCCACTTGTCGTGTCTGGCCGCAGCTAGCTTCTCCATCTGGTCGTGTCTGGCAGAGGATGCCGCTGAGGCATCACTCATCCAAGATCGACTCGCGATCGGGCTTGGTAGTCTGGGGCCACGCAATCTTTAAAGATGCTGCTGCTGGTTGAGTCGTCGTTGAGGCAAAGTTGTCCCATCTCTGGCAAGGGATCGTCGACAGTGGGGATCGACCTGCTATGGCTCCACATTGAGTTCTGGATGCCTTGGGCCTGGAACGGCTGAGCGGGAGATGAGGTTGGGGTTGAAGCCAGTGTCAGTTTGTTGTCAAGCCAGAGACCGGCTTCCTCGGCGTTGGCAAATCGACGTCCGGGCTCTCGGGCCCATCCGTTGGGCGTCTTGACCAAGGCGCCATACTCGATCATCTTGCGTTGAATCCATCGAACTCGCTCTCGGAACTTTGGCATTACAAGGCGGTTGTAGTCCTTGGTGACTGACTTGTCCTGTCGTCCAAAGTTGAGGTTGCAGATGCTGACGAGCTCCCAGAGGTACTGGCCGTTGTCGAGAACCATCTTGTCGAAGCCAGGTTTCTCACCCGTCTGCTTTTCGGCCGAGTCGGCAATCTCGAGAAGGTAGATGACGATTGCTCCTCTGACGGCAGGTACATGATGGTTTCATTCATCGATCCGAGACCGATGTCCCCAAGCGTAAACGTACGGGCGTCTGATTTCTGGCTTTTCTTGGGTGTTGACTTATTCATACGTCCGTGTCATTCATCTGAAGATTCCGCCTTTCCGGGGATGGAGAATAAAATGCTACCGATCATATCAGGGGTGTATGATGTGGACTGCAGTTCTCTTTAGAGACAACTCTTTGTTCTTTCAAACCTGCTGCATTTACCAAGGCTCAGAGAGCTCTGCATAGGTCCTAGCCCGTCTCACACAGCAAGCGAACAGAGTCGCCAAGAACACAGGCAATCCCATGCGGCGGAGAGAGAGCAAATCACTTTGTTCCATTCATGTTTCAGCCCGGCCCTCGATGGGTTAATTGAGCCAGAAGACTGACCTATTCATGTTTCTAACCGGCACATGTATTGTACAAATGTGCCGAACAGTTCCCTATAAAAAGACGGTGGGATACATGACAAGGAGAGAGTCGGCAAACGACAACGCAACCTGGGCCGACGCAGCTTTTGTCACCTCCAGGCTTCGGCTCTTTACACAACATGCAGGCGCAATGTCCCGAGGCGAGAGGCCGAGTGCATCTTTTGTCTGTCTGTCCGCGTGCATCGTGGTGGTCAAAGAATAATTTCCGCTGCATAGGTAACCCACATTAGTCGAGTGAAAGAATGGGCAATTCCTCCAACCATTGCTTGGAGCACGTTTGGACAAGATGCCGCATAAGATGTCGCTTTTGATTGTCAACCCTAGCAAGCTTGTGATATGTGTGACTTATGCATATGCAGTCCAGTCCACATGCAATGGCAAATCGCTTCGATGAGTCGTCTAGTCTGGCAAATATCGATCCATTGCCCCCTTCAACGCTGGTTTTATTAAACAGTGGTTAACTAAGTTAATTAAAGGTTAAAGAAATAAGTATAGAAGAGTATATAAGGCATATTATAAGGTATCTTATCTAAGCGGATCGGATTAATAATAGTCTATTTCTAATTGGTTTCCGAGAGAAGAGCAATCTGTGTTACTTCTACATCTCTGTCTCTGTCGCTCCAGCGACTCCATGGCCGCGCATGCATGTACTGGGTTGCTGGGATACACGAATGGGCTTTAGTCCGGCCCGTCACAGATGGATTCCTATAGGATTTCACCTCTTTCTCTTGGAATTTAATTATTGCTCATGGAAAATATTCACCTGGCGAGCTTGTTATCTATATTGCCTTATGCCACCAAGCTTTTCCCTCGCTACTTGGAGCCGGCTCCCACCCATCTTGGCCTCTTCTAAACAGAGCACGTTTTAGAGTAGCAAGCGTTCGAAATAGGGTTGAACGAGCCTTGTTCTTCTACAAAGAGAGGCCGCCAATGGTGGCCAAGGCCGAGGAAGTAATCCACAGCGCTCAGATACGCTTAGGCCACAGCTTCTCATCCGGACAAAGATCACCAGCCCTGGGAAAAGCGTCAATGACGTCATTGAATAACATTGAGACATTACCTGTGTATGGGCGACGCGCATGACCTCAACCAGGATCTGTTATCCGTAGCTTGCCTTGAATTGACTCTACGGACTGTGGAAATTGAAAGCGGACCATGAGCTCTTCTCCTACATCATCCAGCTCACACGGAAAACTTCACAGTATGGTTCTCTTGGAATGAACCTAACCTTCGTCATCGACTCACTCCAGATACCTTTCGCCCCTCTCGTAAGCACCGCCTCCTACCGGCACTGGCGTATATTACCTCAGGACACTAGGATGATTGCCAAGTGCTTGGGACAATGCCTCATTTGTAGGGCTCCCAGCTGTGGCCGGCCAAATGTCAATCCACCAATCTCAGATGATGATGAGTGAACCTTCTTGGTGATCAACGAGTGGTCGTCGTGGGTGTGACATTTATCCTGACGTTGAACTGAGCCATCCGTTCTGTCACGAGCTTTCTCACCAAACTCACAGTCTTGAGGGACATACGAGCCAGATCACCACTGTTTCGATGGAGCCGGCCCTGGAGCTGTAGCACAAGTTTCTAGCTGTTTTTATAGAGAGATAGCAATGGTTCTTCTTGCGTCACGACGTAGTCGACGTTGGTGTTGACGCCATCGCGTGAGCTCAAAGACCCATTCGCCGAGTCAGGTGCGGATATGGCTATGTAACCGTCAATATGCTAAGCCTCTTATGCCATGGCGCAACATGATCATTTTGTAGAGCCATTCTGGGAACGGACATAGATTGCACCCCCTATACCGCCTTATCCCAAGCCATGGCCACGTGGTTCATGAATGATTGCCGGTATTCACGTGCTGCTGTCGAATCTATTGTCGTTGAAGGAGCTAGCTTCTACGGCGCTCCAAGTACGTCCGTATTAATGAGGCTTCATTCGCCTTCCTTGATACATATACGAATTCAACTTGACGTTGAAATGGGTTTCGTAACCAGAACTTGGTGATGCGTGTGAGGGCTGGATGGAGAGACGTTGAGAAAGGGGACGGAAACGTAGCCACAATACATTGCACAATACCCATCGTCGTCCGCAGGGAGCATATCGGGTAGGTTCACTCGAAATCGGTCTTTTCTTCGCTTCGATGGATGTATGGTTGGCTAGGGCTTGGGGGACAGGGCTTATACAGGGACGACTCCCACTACGTCCTTCCAGTAGAGGCCTAACCCTACTCCGCCAGATAGGGGCACACCATAAAGATGACTTTGTGACGAGTCAGGGATCATACTCAGGCTCGCCGCCGGCAGGATTAGGCTCATGAAAGGGCGCGCCAACCGCAAGTTGCTTTTGAGTTTCTTAATTTGCTGGGAAACGCGAATGATTCGACAAGATAGAAGCACTAGACAAGCAATATGGAGTTGGCCAAGAGCTTTGAAATGTCCAAATGCCATGCCAGTGTGAATGAACTATTAAAGCTCTCATAGCGAGTATCGGACTGCGTGGGGTCAGTACCATAACCCCAAGGCTTTGGGAGGACTGCTTACTGCTCATGCTAGTAGGGAAATTCTTTTGGATGTAATTTAGCACGTCAAGGACCTCGAGCCTTGAGAGTTGGATTCTCTGTCCTGAGCTCCTGAGCCCGACTTCCCTTTAGACATTTGTGAATGCTGCAAGAGAAATGAGGGTCCCGGGGGCTGCTGCTCACCAATGGGGCGCATAGATGACACGTTGAGGGGATGAGAAACAATGAGTGATTGTCAGCAATTGCGCTGATGGGATTAAGAGAATTCATCTCCGTACTACGAATGGGACATCCAGTCATCAAGGCGTTGCAGCCAAATTGAAACATGTCTTTCAGCAGGTACTACATACCGGCTGGCTATCTTCTTTGGGACACCATACCCTGATTTATCTACCTTGCCTAGCGTGCTTGAGACTGTTGTTTGAGACTTGGGATAGAGCCTGCACCACTGCTTGTCGGGGCAGGTCAGGTATGGAAGCTTGCTCCAAGATCTCTAATCCGACGACCAACACATCCAGGGCCCAGATGAAGAGCTCGTCAGATCAATGGGGGCACTATTTAGCAATAAGCCCTGCACCAATGCTATAATTCAACCACTCCCGATTTCGCTCCTGGGAAACGACGTACTCTCAAACCTTGGTGAATGAGTGGAATTATCTGCGACAGAAGAGATAGCCCTGACCTTCAATAGTTCGTGCTAGAGGATAATCTTTTAGTTTACAGATGATTTGGGGCCGTAGAATCAGACCGATATGAGCATGGATGGTCCTCGTGAAAATATTTGCCCTTGAGAGGTTGGGTGGCCACAATGGTAAGGACACTGGGTTCAACACAAGACTGGCCTCTTCACAGTCCGTTGCTTCGTAAAATAGTATCTACAAGAGATCGAACGAGACCTGTCTGTTCATATTTGTAAGCTTCACGTCGGGGGAGAACTCACTTATGTTCCTTTCAGTTATTGGCCCTGCATACGGGTGGGTTCGATCTTTGGGTCAATGAAGGCCATGGAAACATAAGATTGCCCCACGTCTTGTATATGATGCTCGAGATGCTTGAGAGGCACAAGCATACCTATGAGTACAGTGGGGAGTCCAAATTCTCCACAAACGCTAATGCACCAGCTCCTAGTTAACGACTTTTAATTTTTATCGAACAGGCACCTCATGGGTTATAGAGTACACAAGCGTTAAACGACAGCGGTTGATAAAGGAGCATCATCTGCTTGTTCTCTTTGGGGATCGGACTGATGACAGTTTAATAGCAGTATTTCAACCAGGCGGGATCGAATTAGGAGACTCAAGCTTATATGGAAAGGTGGAAACAGTGAGGCATGAATGGTAACCTTTCAATATTGCGAGCTCCAATTGAGAGACGACACCTTGTTTGGTGGGCATCCTTGAGCTTGAATAGTAGCATTTCGATCCGGCGAGACGGAACCGGGAGAGGGGGCAACCGTGCTTCCATGCCGTGCCGATACTATACCACGTTACAGGGGCCACAGCAAAGGGGCTCTGTGTGGACGCGCATCGCTCTACCATGGTAGTCCAGAGGGCCAAGTTCTAGGCATAGCGCGTAAGTGAGTGATTTAGAAAGTGTCTGAAGTAGATTGAATCTGTTTCAGTACCCCATGACAAAAGGGGGGGGTTCATGTGCCGCTTCTAAGACGTTCATCAAGTCTTAGATGGAGGATCGGGGTATTTTGGATGGCATGATCTGGCTGCCTCCTACCTTGTAGAAGATTGGCCATATTCTGGATCCCTTTTATAAACGTCGTATGTGAGACTGCTTTGACCGTAGTCTCGCCACGGATTGCAAGACTCTACTGTACCGGCGTGGGCACGAAAGAGTCATCATGGCCAGTGAATTGGTGAGTAGATCCTGACTAAAAGACTACCTGTAACATGTAACCCCACCAGGAGAAAAGAAAGCCAACATGTTCCCGGCCATGCAACGACGACATACCCGGCGCCACCGGAGAAGCAAGTAAAACCCTATTTGATTGCCACATCCGTTTTCGAGTGTATTTTCTTGGAAAGAAAG